GGGGGATAGGGCCCATGACTGAAGCCTCCTAAGCTAGAGGAGTACGGTGATCTGCCAGGTGTTGGAGGTGCTGGGTATGTTTGGTAGGGATTAGGCGGGGTATGGAGAGCCCCATACTGACTCATGGTTGGAGGTTGGGCAGCAGCTCCAGCATGGGGTGCTAGACCAGGAGGGTACTGAGTTGGATATGGAGGATACTGCCCAGCATAAGCAGCATAAGGGCTGGCTGACACTGAAGTTCCAGCACGGTAAGATGGAGCATACTGTGGATAGGTAGGTGGTTGATAAGTTGGGAAGGGAGATGGAGAGGTTACAGAAGGGTTTGAAGCCACATGGGCTGCACTAGGCAGAGCCGTAGCGAGTGGTTGCTGAGTTGTTGCAGAATTGATTAAAGACTGCAAATCTGGGCTAAGAGTGGCTTGGTAATCCGGCCGACGGAAGGCACTAGTGCCTGTTGACAATGTATAATTGAGGTAGTCCAGTGCAGAAGCATGGCTATGAGGGGAGCTTAGATCTTCTGGCACAGAATCAAAAACTTGAGAATTTAGCAAGTGGGACAAACTTAAGGGACTGTCAGCTCCTCCAAGACCACTGCTACGTGAAGTTGGAACTAAACCACTTCCTGTATGAGTTAAAGATGAACTTAGAGAACTCTGTTGTGACTGCTGAATTTGCTGCGACTGCTGTTGCTGTTGCTGCTGTTGCTGCTGAGGGAGCTGTGAACTCTCTGACATGGTTGGAAAGGTACTGGAACTGCTGCTTTGCTGGGTAGTTGAAGTACTACCAACTCCAGACATTGTTCCTGTTCCATATGTCCCTCCACTACTACTGTATAGGGCATGTGTAGTTGAGGGCAAGAAAGAAGATTGTGTTGTTGTATATGTGTTTGAGGGTGACGGGCCTGCTTGATGGACATGTGGTGCCACTTGAGCAACATTACTGCCAAGGCTTGCACTTGATACAGCTTCCATGGTACTTTTTGTCCAGCTGCTATTGCTGCTAGTATTGCTACTTCCAGCACTGCTTGTTTGCTGTTGTTGCTGCTGCTGCTGCTGCTGCTGCTGCTGCTGTTGCTGGGACTGTGACTGTTGTTGCTGTTGTGGCTGTTGTAAAAATGGTTGGAAGAGTGGTTGAGAAGAATGGAAGGCTTGCTGAGAAGAAAATGATGACAAATGAGACATATTAGATGAATTATGACTTGTGTTTGGAGTTCCAGGTGGTCCAGGACCATCTGGTGGGAGTAAGTTGCTCATAGACTGCAGAGGAGTCAAGCTAGCTGTGGGTTTATTTGGTGTTTGTTGTACTTGTGGCTTCACAATACCTGTTCGGCTTTCCAGGCTGGTTGAAAGAGATCCAGAGAGAGGTTTGGCCAGATCTCGCATTCCAAAACCAACTGCTGATTTGGAAGGGGTTCCTAAAACTACTTCATTTGACTGTACTGAGGGTGAACCATGATCACTGGCTAGGTTTGCTGATATTTCATCTGATGAGTCTAAATCAGCAGAGTTATTGGAAGAGTCAAATTTTGCATCAAGGTCAGAATTATCTGTATGGGACATTCCAGTTAGTGATGGATCTGACTGTTGGTTTCCTGCTCCTGAAGAGGGGTGTGCCTCCCCTGATGATGCTGTTGTCTGCTGTAAAGCTGAACCCATTCCAAGACTGAGGTCCATGCCAACATTAGTACCTCCTTGTGGTCCAACTTCAGTAGAACCATCTCCTTCCCCGGTTTCCCCTAAATCCCCATCACCAGTCTCATCCTTCTTACTCATTAAGTTAACAGGAGTATCTGCTTCTTCATTTTCATCATCCTTACCATCCTTTTCCTTATCCTCACAAACCTCTGTGTTTTCCATTTTTGTTTCCTCTTCATCTTCCATTCCTTCATCTGATGATTTGACTGCATTTTCAATGTTCATTAGGGCTGATGCTTCCTTCATCTGTTCCTTCTTTGCTTCACTTGCTCTCCGTAATTTTTCATTTCTATGTAGGCTTGCTAGTTGTGACATAGTTGTTCTCTTGGTTACCTTGGTCATGCCACTAGTACTTGGCAAAGTATTACCAGCCACTGTACCAGTGCCACTAAAACCTGGCAAAGCTGCACTTACTTTTGTTGTTGGTGTGACTGTAACCTTTGGATTTAGTTTAATATTACGCACTGCCTTAGCTGTTGATGTGTTAGCTTTTGATGCGGGAGTAATAACAACACTCTTGTTTAGGAGAGCTTGTGGTGTGGTTCCTCCTGAAGCTGCTGGCATAGCAATTGTTTGGAAAGCCTTACCACCCCGTCCACTAACATTAACTGGCTTCTTGATAATTCGGACTGGCATTTGACCTTTTGTTATGATATTACCAGTAGCGTATTGCATTGCCATTGGAGGACGTCCTCTCCTGGCGCCACCTCGAACACTTGGCTGCTGCATGCGTGGCCTCGGTGCATTTACAATTGTTGGCACAATAGTAACACTTCCTTTGTTTAGTGGCAAGCCAAATGCTTCCT